CATGATATGCAAGCATGCTAATGGGATTTCATCAATGAAAAGTGGGGGAAAACAGCCCCGAAATGAGGCGAAAACACACCCGATGCAGGGAATAGTCCCGAAATATGAATTTTGGCACCCGAAATGGCCTACAGCTATACCAAACATACAAAATTGGCACATGAAATGAATAGACAGAAGAAAGGCAGCCCCTAAATAAGCACTTTTCCAGTTTATAGCATGGCCAAACAGCAAACCAAAACAGGGCAAAACTAGCATGCAAGAAATGGCCCTAAACATGAGATTAAGAAGCAACTCACATCTGCTGTCCTCAAACAGGTTAGGGCCCTTCAACAAAGTTGAAGAGAGGCCCAAAATATGATGTTTTTCAGAACTGTAAAAACCCTGAAAACAAACACAGGTATGGCTGCACTCTTATGCAAGAGAAGGGGCCAAAAGATGGCCAAAGAAGGAAGTGGTATATGCAAAGCCCAAACAGAAAAATACCCTTCTACAACACTGAAGAGGGACCAAAAATATGCACATTTACAGAACTGTAAAAACCCCAAAACAGTATACATGTATGTCAAAAATGCTATGCAAAATAGGGTCCAAAAGGGGTTAAAACACAAAGTGTATAAAATATGCCTCAAACCATGAAAGGCCCTTAATGAAACATGAATAATGGGCCAAAATAAGAACTTTTCTAGCTCTGTAAAATGACCAAAAAATGGAACCAAGATAGGCTGTCAAGTCATACAAGAATAGGGGACCAAAGATGGATATAAAGACAAGTGGTACATGGAGGTCCCAAACAAAGATGAGACCTTCTTCAATGTTGAAGAGGGGCTCAAAATAAGCCTACTTACAGTTCATGAGAAACTCCAAAATAGATCACATGTTGGTTAGAAAAAGCATGCAAAATATTGACATACAAAGAGGGTATTGAAGCAAGTGCAAGATAGAGGGCTCAAACAGGGCTGAGCCCTTAATGAGACATGAAAATGAGCTCAAAAAAATGACATTTTCAGTTTTGGTCGGAGCTCAAAACAGTAAGCATGATGGCTAGAGGAATGGTGCAAAAATGAACTAGAAAAGAGGGAAAATGGGCTCACCCTTGAAGACCAATACTTTTGTTGCTTCTTGGACCAAATTTGTTGCCTCTTAGCTCCTGGAATTCCTCCCCTTGCTGTTGGAATGGAGTGGTGGTGGTAGAGCTTGGTGGTGATGAAGAAAATGAGGTGAAACTTGGGTGTTTTTGAGAAAATGAGAGAGATAGAGGGAGATTTGTGTATCAAGACTTGAAGCAATTTTTTCTAACCCCTTCTTCAAGTGTTGGAGGCTGGTTATATGGAACAAAAAGAGGGAGTAAAGGTGGGGGAAAAAGGAGACAAGCTTTCCCCCACAAAATATCCCCCGGATTGAGATATTTTCTGGGGGATAAAGCTATGCAGCTGTAAAGTGAACAGTGTCAGGATCATGGCCGGCCGGCCACATCCCCTAGCCGGCCGGCTAGGGGTCAAAAGGGTCAAGTTGGTTTAGTGGCCGGCCACCACATAATGGTGTCCTCCCATGTGCCCTCAACACAACCCTGTGGTTAAAAGTCCAAGAAAGTGGCTCAAGGGGG